TAAACCCTAAACCCTACACCCATCATACAACTTCATGTGGTAGCTTTTGGGGACCGCTTCCCGACCTCCAGCAAGCAGCCAGGCGTGCTCTTAGGGCTTAGGGAGTGAGGTTGCGCCCGCAAACATGTCGAATCCCCACCTGGGACCTTCCCCATAGGGTTTAGGAAAGTTTAGGGTATAGGGGGTTAGGGTTTAGGGTTTAGGGCAGCTGTTCCCATGCTTTCCCTGGCCCTCTTTGGAGCATCTTCGGCAAGCTCTAAGCTCCTCTGAAGCATGAGGCTCGAGGATCCGGATTCCCACGCTCTCCCGCCACACCCGCTTGCGGTCTCTGGTAACTTTGTTCAGGGCTGTGCTGCCCCTGGAAGCCGAGAGAAGAGTTACAAGTATGACGGAGTTCGCCTGGGTGGGCGGTGGCCCGATATCCCGCAGCAGGTAGTAGATGTCCTGCGCCTGCGTGTGTGTGACAGGGCTCGCAGTTGCTGTGCTTACTTCCATGATGCCGGACAGCATACTGACACAACAGGCTGGTGCCCACCCGCCTGTCGGCCGTTCATGCGCTGTACCATTTCTGGCAGGGGCAGGCGGCGGCAAAACGGCACGGCAGCGTCTCGGAAGGATGCTCCCAGCAACCCGGCCGGCCTGCTGCGCCAGCATCGCCACAGCGTGAAGCATCGATCTCAGCAGCGCTTAGCGGCTTGGCCAGGCATGAAATGGAGAAGAAACAACTAAGAACAACCCCTGCGAACCATCTGTCCTGTTCTATCAGAACACGTCCACAACCACCATAAGCCACAACTTGACTCCCCAGTTACTGAATAGCAATAGTCTCTGTGTCTCTGTGTGCACTCCGCTGAATGCTGTGGCGCCCACGACAGCCGACATCCCGCTCAGCTGGATGCACTTCTCGCACAACCCTTTCTCAAGAACGAAGCACTGGTGACCTGAAGAAAGGTTTTTGATGCAACTTCATGATACCAATTGCTCTAAGCAGCTACTGCCAGTAATGGTAACAACAAAGGTGGCTGCCGAAGTTGTAACAACGGCAATAAAAAGAGGAGTAGAATAGAAGACTATTGGCTTCCATTGGCTTACCTCCGGGTGCTCCTTCGGCTCTCATGCATCATCTTTAAATCTACTGCGTTGGTCTTCAGGCCGAGCTGTGGGCAAAGGGACTTAAGACCGAAACGTCTTTCCATGGCTACACACACACACACACAAACACACCCTAAACCCTAAACCCTAAACCGCAAGTATCCCAGACGTCGACCCAAAGCTCAACTTCCACTGCCGATGGGAGTGACAGGAGAGGGAGCAAGAGTTTGAGCGCAGCAGGCTGCGTCCGCGGCCTGCATTCTCACAGAAGTGATCGTAGATATAATAGTCCAGCTCCATCTTAGTCAAGCAGGTCATACATCCGCTCAGGCTTTGCAAAGACTGCTGGACCAGCTGTCGGAAGCAGCCGCAAGGAGCAAGGACCCACGATGAAGACAAAGACGAGGACTCCGACTTGGGCGCATGTAGCCGCAGGCACGAATCACAACAAAAACAAATCATAATAACAACAATAATATTAATAGTATCAATAATAATAATAGATAATAGTAATCGATAATAATAAAACGTCGCGACGATGTGGACAAAGACTACGACAGTGACTACGACCACGATGACGGCCACGGCCGCCACCCCCCACAGCACCTCCACAAGCTTCCCAAAAATCCGGGCGCAGCACCGCCGGCAGCAAACTCGTGGCAAGCCAAACCTCACGGTCGCACACATGTGAACTGACAGCTTCGTCTCTCAGGCATACCGGCCCTTCCTCAAACCTCAGACCTTTCAGCATACATTCCGGTGAAGACTGGACTGCAAGTGCTACTACTTTGGACGATCGCAGATCAAAGCCCAAAAGGTCGCGGCTGCCAAGAAATACTGTTGGCAGTCCTGCGAGAAGCAGAGCAGCCCGCAGTCTCAAGAAATGCTTGCAAGATGAGTGCCAGAGAGTGCCCATCCCGTGAGGTCCCCTTGCCAAAGACCGCCGCCCCACGGGCCTGTCGCAGACGCACATTTTCGGAGACGCGTGGGGCGGGGGGGGGGGGGACAATTTCGGCTTGATTACAGAAGCAACCATGCAAGTGAAGGCACCAGCACCACTGCAACAACACTTACAACCATCATCACCACTACTAGCAGCATTACCATCACGATGACTGTTGCAATCATCAGGATCAGTACTACAAACAACAACACCGTCGCCGCCGCCGCTACGACCACCAGCCTTTCCCACAACCACAACGACAACGACAACAAGAAGAACAATAAATAGAAAATAAAACAAACACAACAACACCACAGCCACTACCATAGCACAATCTCGAGCAGTAGCAGCAGCAGCAACCGTTCCCGTAGCAGCAGCGGAAGCAGCAGTGACAACACATCGCCATTGCCGTCGTCATATGTGGTCGTCATGGGTCTTGCTGCTATGATCTTGTGTTGTTTCTTCTTGCTGGTCATCGCTATCGCCAATCGCTGAGACTCTGCTGGCAAACTGAAGACAAGGGATGCCTTTCAGGCATTCTAAAGCATCAAAGACCTTCCGCCCTGTAGGCCTATGGCCTGTGCCGATACGCTTGACGACAGCCGCGAACGTCTGAGAGACGGCTTCGTGGTAGTTGGCACTGTTGTAGGCCTGAGGGTCACTGGGGTAGGATCATACTGTCATACTCCACAACTTTGCACTGCAGGGATGCCCCTAAACCCTAAACCCTTTACATAATCAGAGATGCCACCCCGCCTGCAGCCACAAGGAAATGTCCTGCGCAGTTCGGCATGGGCGCTGTGTTTTCTCCTAGCCCACCAAAACTCAAAGACCCCACAACTCGCTGGTTCTTAGTAGGGAATGGAGGAATGGGCTCTTGCGGCTACTATAGGGGACCTTAAGGGACTATCATAGGGATCCATTCCCCCATTCCCTGCTAAGAACCAGTCAGACAAACCTGAATCACCTCAACTACACGTTGGTGCCTTTCACAATCCCAGAGCACAAGATCTTACTTACAGGTTAGGGTCTAAGGCGGAAGTGGGTACGAGCACTGCATACGTGCATGGTGAGGCAGCTCTGGACATGCTTCTTTGGCAACCAAAAATCCTGCTTAACGTTTTCGACAAGTAGGGCCCTCTGAACGTGGCCCCACCTGGTCGAGGTGCCGCCGTTGGGAGTCGCAAAGGTTGTTGAACATATCCGGCTCCGAGCACTCGCCCCTTCGGAATGAAGGATTGGCTGCTTTGGATTTAGGGGTTTAGGGTTTGCCTGGATTGGACCTACATTCAAACGCAAAGGTGCTAGGTACATCTCACGGATGCGAGCAACACCTTGAATCATAGTCCCTTTGCACATCGGTGACTCTCCACACTACTCTATCTTGGGCTCAGCAATCATTGCGATGCCACAGCTTCGAGCTGACTTGAGCGCAGGGAGAACCCCAAACGCTAAACCCTAGAAGGCCTGTGGCAGTCGCTGCAATAGGAGGCCACGGCCACGAAGGAAGAGGCCTGGGCTTGCTGGCAGGACTGCCAGAAAAGGCATCTCCAAGTCAGCCCTCTGGCAGGCATATAATATAATATAATATAATACA